TCCCGGATGGAGCAGGACAAAGGTGGGGTGCAGAACTCAAATTCTAGTAAGAAGACCAGACTTAATGGTCTGACTGGGACTGGAGGTACCCTGGAAACCACGGCCCCTGGATTCTCTATCAGCCCAGAACTAAAACAATTTCCAAGGCCAACTCTTCAGGCAGGGATTGGACTGGACTGTGGGACATAAAGCGATACTCGTGAGGAGTGTGCCTCTTAGCTCAAGTAGATAAAAGAGACTAAACCGGAAGCTTGTGTCCAGAGTTGAGATGGGAAGGCAGAGAGGGTTAGGAGCTGGTTGAATGGACACGGTGAATCCGGAGTGGAAAGGAGGAGTGTGCTGTCACACTATGGGGAGAGCAATTAGAGTCACATAAGAATGTATGCATGAACTTCTGTATGGGAAAAAATTTAAAAAAAAGTGAGAGTCCTCCAAGATGTACTGGCTCTTCAGCCAGGAGAGGCCGGGACTTAAGAGTCCTCCTCCCCACATGCAGTTGTTGGGGTAGGGGTCTTCCCAGGAGCTGCCTCCAATGGGGACAATCTGTCAGTCAGGATCTCCAGGTCTGGGCAGGCAGTGAGCTCTGATGGACCAAGACTTGTTCCACCAAGAGGCCCACTACAGCCAAGTCCTTGACTGTGTCCACCCAGAATGCAACTCAAATCAACAAATATTTATTGAGCACCAGTATGTGGCAGGTTACTCTGCTGGGGATAGTGAAATGAGCAAGACAGACAAAAAGTCCTGCCTTTGTGGAGCTTAAGAGGTAGACAACAAAATGAATATGCAAATTATAATATGTTAAGAAGTCATGGAGAAAACTAAAGGAGGCAAAGGGGACAGAAGGGTCTGAGGCGTGAGGTTTGTATTTAAAAATACTGTGGTTGAGGGAGGCTCCACCGAGAAGGTGACATTAGAGGAAAAGGAGTGAGCCATGGGGATTTCTGGAGGAAAAGTGTTCCAGGCAAAGAGAACAGCAAGTGCAAAAGCCAAGAGGCATGAGTGTGCATACTGAGTGTGACAAACAGCCAGGAGGCCAACGGGGTGGAGTGGACATGTGGGCCAGAGGAGTAGAGGGCCCAGGACACAAAGGGCCTTGAAAGCCACTGTAAGGATTTGCACTGCCTCCTAAACTCCACTATTCAACACACCCTTCTGAGGACTGAACCAGGGGAAAGCACTGAGCATGCCCCCTCCCTGAAGCAGTGGATCCCCTTGTCAGTGTCAGGGGTCTTTGGCCACAGGACACCGAAGCCGAAGTGAGCTGACTCAGCACAGGGGATAAACTGGGAGGATAATGGGCATTCCCAGAATCCTTGGGAGGCTGGAGAACTGGGAAATGGGACAAAACCAAGGTGGCTGCAGAAGACCAAGAAGGGGGACCCCCGGGAATAATTGCCTAGCAAGGACAGTGTGGTTAGGGCACCACCTCTCCAGTGAAAGGAGCTCCCCCACTACATCCATCTGTTTAAGGTTCCAGTTCCAGGGGGAGCATCAGATTGGCCTGGCCTGGGACACATGTCTGCTCCTTGGCTATGGGGGGGGGGGAGCCTCCATCACAATCCCCCAGCCCATTATCTCTGGGAACCTGGAAAACGTGCGGTGGTTGCTTGGTAGCCGAAAAACAGAAAACACGTATTGAGGAGCTACTCTGTGCCAGACACTGCACTCCTATATCGGAACCAAGGAGAGCTAAGCCTAGAGACAGAAGCTTCCCGGCCAAGTTTCCGCAGCAAGTGAGCGGCAGCCAAAATTCTGACTCCTGGACCCCAGGGATTGAGGCATGGTTCTACATCATGGCTGCATCCTGAGCTAACTGGGATACTTTAGACAATTGGGGGGGCCTAAGCGTCACTCCAGGAACCCATTTTCTGAAACCTATGTTTTTCCTTTCCCTGCCAAGCATCAAAATTGAGAGCTTCACCTGTGCTGCTTCTTCCCTGAAAACCTGGAGTTTCCCCCGCAAGATAAAGGACTGGAAGGTATTTGACACTACAGCAACAGGCAAGTGGGGTGGGCAAGGATGGGGCCAGGGCTTGCTGTGGTTCGCAACTGGGAGCCTGGCTCCCTCCATTACAGTGGGACCACTCACCGCTGGGGGCATCACCACCTAATGGCAGCCTGGGAAGAGATAGACCCCTCCCTATGGTCAGTGCAGGAAAACTTCCCTGGGCCCCAAAGGCTTCCCCTGGATGTGTGATTTCCATCACCTGACCCAGGCTATGCCTCACACCTGCACCCCTGACCAATAGTGCAGCAGCAGGAACTGGTAAGAGAAGCAGCTTCCTCCTGCAATGAGCCTTTAGCGCCCTCTATTGAGAAAGCTCAAGATGATGCTCAGTGAAAAAGAGAAAAGCTTTAAAAATTCAGATTATGAAAAATAAGTTTGGAGCTAGGTAACATATTAAAAAAATGGATATCTCATAACCTCACAATTCATAAGCCAATAATAAGGCTAATAACAGCTAAAAAGTAGTGAGTGTTTAACGTTTCTGGCACAGTGCTAAGAACTTCTCACGTATTATCTCATTTAATTCACCAAAATCAGCCCTAGAGGTTGGTTCCTTCTGTCATCCACATTCTATAGTAGAAGCCTAGAGATGTTGAATAATTAATCCAGGGAAATATTATCTGTCAAGTAAGTAGAGGCTAGAATCAAACCCCGGCATTCTTAAGCACCTTGCTATTCAGAGAAACCCCTGTTAGCACTATGTTGTGTGCCTTCTGCAACAGACACTGTTGGTTGCCTCCTAAACTTCCATTCTCCAGCCCCTCTTTTTAATAAAACCCTGAGTCCGTGCAGGTAGCCACCTCCTTACCTGGGCCACATGCCTTGTGGGTGGTGAAGCATTTCGGGGAGGGAACGGCTAGGTGAGCGAAGGCGCTGTGATACGTCTCAGCCAATCATGGTGGGCTTCGGCCCTTTGCCGGTAATTGGTTAAAGCAAAAGCATGTGACCCAGTCCTGGCCAATGAGACGCAAGGGCAGTATCCTTGGGGCTTTTGGGAAAGGTGTTCTCACACTTAAAGTGGGAGCCGCAAATGGTTCGTGTGTGTAGCTCTCCCGAGTTTTAGCTCTTCTGTGTTGGCAGCCATTGTCTGACTAGGAGGGAGGACAGCCTAAGGGCAGCACCAGCACAAGCAGGAGCATAGAGCCCGCAGCAGAAACCCCGAGAAGCGGGACATGAGCCGAGAGCTCCCAACTTCTGGATTCCTTATTTTGGAAAATACGTTTACTCATTGTGGAGTCAGTTGAGGTACAGCCTTTGTCTTACTTGAAATTGAAAATATCTGACTGATACATCTTCTTCTATACAGTATATTCATGTGTTTCCACGCACATGAATCGGGGGAAAACTGACCTGATTTTTCACGTAAAAATGGTCATTCCTCTATATCAGTAAAAATAGACTGAGATCACTGTTTTTCATGTCAACAAAAGGATTTGGTAAGTATGGATGCTCCGAGATTTATAC